ATCGTTTATTTCTAATTTCTTCGTAACACATATCGTTCATGCATAAAATTCGAAACATTATTATAACACTGAATATTTTGTTTGTTTCTCTAAATTGAGGATATATTTTTATAAAAGCTTTTTTGATAATAGGAACTTTCCATGAGTCCAATTTCATTAAAAAATAAATATTTTATTTTTGTACAACCAGCAAATGACTTTTTTTCTATAGAATGAGAATTATTTTTACTATTTTTGTATAATGTTTAAACGAAACCTTTTAAAATAGTATTTAGAGGCATAGTTATGTCGGATAAAAGTTTTTGTAAAAATAATGTGCATTTCATCAAATATTTGTCTTATAACTATGATAAAGAGGTGTAATAAATTTTTGTAAGCACTAATAAGATTGAAAGCTTATACGATGTATAGTTTTTCTTAGTAAATTTTCGATCAGACTTTCTGATGGAGTCATAAACAGATTTGAGCCTTTATTTATGGACTACAAAGTGGCTTAATTTTGTAAACCCTTTTCTAAATCAATCACTTTATCCAATTGATAAAGCTTCATTTCCTTTATCAATTCATTCTAAGAGCATTGTTTTTCTAATTTGATTCCTGCATTTTGGACTCTCTGAATGAAAAAAAAATTCCTTTTTTTCAAATAATTCCGAGCTTTCCGATCGCAATTGTGACACAGATATGAAACTTAATAAGTAAAAGTTTAGCCTTATATATTTATATGAGCTACAGTAGAATAAATGGATAGAAGTAGAGTTCTGAAGAAAAAATGCACTATTAGTGGAAAGTCAATTCATTATAACATGTTTGGAAATATGCTTTTAAGCTCTAGCAAAACTATGTACACGGAGAAAAACACTCATTCAAAAGTTGATTTTTACAGATTTTTTTCCCTGAGATCTGGCCTCCGATTGCGAATTTTTAAAAAAATAGGAATCCTTAGAGGATCAAGTTTGGCTAATATATAGGATTTTCGATAAAAAACGGCAAAAATAGAGGATTTATTATACATTGTTTCCACGCAATCGTCCGGTTTTGTTAATTTCTCTGCTCGAAACTTTTCGGGATGTGGGTGTGGGTGTGGGTGGGTGTGGGGTGTGGGTATGGGCATGGGTGTGGGTGCCGGTGTGGGTGTGGGTGTGGGTGTTGATATCTGTATTTTATTCGCACCTAAACTCATACCCACCCCCAGGCCCACACCCACACTCACCCATACCCTACACACGCACACCCACACCCACCCACACACCCACACCCACCCCCACACCGACACTCACGCCCCACACACCCACACTCCACACACCCACACCCCGCACTATCAATAAGTACAGTGTCTACTGCAATAACGTCTGGCAATGAATCAAATAAAACAGCAGCTATTCATATATTCTTTTGTGAATCAGTTTCTGCGCCAAATTATAGTGATACAACTACGGAAATTTATCAAGAGCTACATGTAATAAATCAGTCATAAGAAGATCAAAATATAGAAGCTGCCATGGAAGTTGAGAGTAAGGACTAGAAAAAAGTAGTCAATTCTGACAATCTTTTTATTTTTAGATCCAAATGAATGTATTTCAACGTCAATTACAGTAAGTCAGCGGTTGCACAATAATGAAGATCAAAACAATGAAATTGGAATTAAACTTCGTTGCATTGAATCAATGCTTCTTCCATGTCCTCATCTGATAAAACAATCTACAGCAATGAATATCTCACATGAAGAATTGGTAAAGAGTGTCTATAACTATGCAACGAACCTTATTACGAGTTCCAACGAGCTACTAGAGCTGTGCACTCAGCGAATCGATCAACTGAATTAAGATCGGGATAATATTTCATTAATTGAACAAAAAAATCAAGTTTTTATAGAACGTGATCCTAGTGAGGCTTTTCATATGATAAGATTTGTGTTTATGTTAATTCTTCAATACTTGAACATTCATTTAGGCAGTTATCCTCAAAATTACAATTATGCACTTGAGGAGCGACATTTTCTTGCTAATGTTGATTCATTCCAATCAACTTTGTCAAATTTTCCAAAAAATGATACAATAGCAGCCTCCAAACGTACTTGCAAATTTGTTGGTAAAAGGTACAATGAATATCCTATGATTGAATATATCGTGTTAAAAAAGATGCTGCGTTTTATTTCGTCTGCCGGTAATTCCATGAAGGTAGTATAGTTATGGTTATATCATTTATCATTATCAAAAACTTTTTTATTTTGTTCTAACTGAAGTCCTAGCAGTCAAAAAAAAGATAAGGCTTGGATGGATGTTGGAGTTAGCTCTTGGTCAAAAATGAAAGAATTAGGTCGTAATAAAAAAAGTTTTGTGTTGATATAATTTTCTTAGCACTTTAATATTGTCACTTTCTCATTGAAGGAAAATTAGAGGCATACTTTTCATCAATTTCTCATAAAGCATCGTATGAACGTTATTTGATTTTCAAAAATAAATCGTGCAACGTCGACAACTTATTAGATGAAAATCGACGCAAAGCTCAACAACAAGAAATAGCTATAATTCAAAGGAATCAGAATGTTGCTATTACATTAATTGATTCAGCTCGATATTTATGCTGTCAAGATTTAGCATTTCGTCGTGAACCATCTGAAGAAGGTAAAGTAATTAAAACGATAACATTGAATTGAACGGTTGGGAAATTTGAATAGTTTCTTTTGTAATAAGAACTCGAATTTCGAATAAGAATTAGAATATGCTTTTCTTTCGCTTAACCAAATAAATTGACTATTTTTCTCATGTATCTGCAAAGTGAAAATAACTGATAACATATTAATAATGCAACAGGAACAGTTGATCTTAAGGTTATGTATCAGATACTTGATCGCGAAAGTATTATCTAAAGGAATTACTTTTCTAGGTTTAGAAGATATAATTTTTATGCCTTCACGTTTGAGTTAAAAATTAAATAAAATCTGTAGTATGTACATTTTTCTATTGGAAGCTTATTAGAAATATTTAGCAGCATATAGTTGTCTATATCGATACATAACTCAGAGATGAAAATTAATCGTTAGTTCTCTACAACTTACCTAAGATACATTTCTTTATTCATGGTATAGGTAACTTCATCCAATTGATCACCCTTTTACGACGTCGAGTTGCATTATTCGATGATTGGTTTAACCAGAAACAAATTGAGAAGTATCAAGTAAGAGATATAATTTTATTATTAACAAATAAATGTAATATTGAAATTAACATTTTGAATACAGGTATCATATTTAAGTGCATAATCATAGGACGAATTCATCAAATTGTTCGGTGAACATGTCCAACAAAATAGAATTGATCGTCTTAATAATTCATCATTTTCTTCAATTATGATGAATAGTACACCAATATGCATCGCATCGAGAAGTTTGTACAATTGTTGTAAAGTATACAAATAATTTCAATATTGAAGAAAGACTTATTACAGTAATTGAATTACCAAGCAAGGTTGTTGTTGATATATGCAATATGCTTTTTGATCTTTTAAAGCGATTCAATATTTCATCGGACAAATTAATTACTCAGTGTTACAATAACGCCAACAACATATCTGGTGTTAACAAAGGTGTTCAAGCTTGTATTAATACCAAATTATCACGTGAAATTATTTTTATATCTTGCGGTGTACATTCATCCAATCTAGCAGTGAAACATGCTTGTGCTTGTGGAACAGGATTTGTTTCATTGTTTTATCTACTAGAGCTCCAAGCAGGCCATATGGCCTGCCTGCCTACCTGTCTGTGACAGGCACAGGCCACGTTATTTAGGCCTGGCCTGTGATAGACAGGCCAGGCCGAACCCCATGTCCGACCAGGCAGGCCGCCTGGCCTGTCTAATTTGCTTTTAATATAAAATTATAATCTTTTAAATTGCATCACTGATAGAAAAAAGATTGGGATTAATTAATTTTCAATCATGACAGTTTAATATGAGAAATTATATGAGTATTTAAGTATAAATATTGAAAAAAAAAGAAACAAAATTCACTGCAATGGTGAATATGTTATCACAAGAAAGGAAGGCTCATTAAAAGTGGTGACACTGTTTTTTTCGCAAAATTTTGTTTCTTTCCTATGCAAAACTGTTAGACGACACTCTAGAAAATGATCGTTTCTACAATCAACCCTATTGTTTTTACTGTATGCAGATCGTTTCAAGTAGTAAATAATTCCCATGCATATTATATTCGAGCATTAATGATAATTAGGTCTACGTAACTTTCTTTATACTAGTCGATCACGCAAGTTTTAATATATTTTGATATAGATTTCTTGCACGACGAAGTCTTCTGAAAGATCAAAGAAAAACATTGATCAGTAAAACGCTTCCTAGGAATATTGTTTCTGGAACATGATATTTAAGATGTACTTGACTAATATTTTGTTGATTTCGACGAGAAAAAATAGTTTGAATAAAAATAAAAACCAGGTTATGAATTAGCATTGAA